TTTGAGGTGGATGAGGGCTTGCTCACATTCCTCTGTCCACTCGAAAGCGGCTTCCGTTCTTAGTAGTTTGAAAAAGGGGAAAACATGCTGTGCGGACTTGGCGATGACGCGGGAAAGTGATGCGAGCATCCCATTGAGGGACTGTATCGATTTCTTCAATCTCGGCGTTGCAATCTCGGAAAATGCCCGACACTTGTCTGGGTTCGCTTCGATCCCACACTCGGTAAGGTAGAACCCGAGGAACTTCCTCGCGCGCACCCTGAAGGTACACGTTTCTGGGTTGAAACACATCCGGCATTTCCTCGCTGTCTCGAAGACCTTCTCGAGATGTGCCGTGTGATCGACTTCCGTGCAGGACTTGACGATCATGTCGTCCATGTAGACCTCGAGCATGTCGCCGATATCTCCTTGGAAGACCTTGTTCATCATCGGCTGGTAGGTGGCGCCGACGTTTTTTAGGCTGAAGGGCATTACGTTGTAGTATTAATTGCCTGATTCAGTCATGAAAGCCGTGCTCTATTTATCGGCCTCGTCCATGGGTATCTGGTTGTACCCCGAATACGCGTCTATGAAGGACATGAGTTTGAAGCCCGCCGAGTTGTCGACGAGCTTGTCGATGTTGGGGAGGGGGTAGGCGTCTTTGGGACATGCCCGATTAAGATTCATGTAGTCAACACACATCCTCCATTTTCCATTATTTTTCTTGACGAGTACAACGTTGGACAGCCAGGTTGAATACCGGGCTTCCGAAATAAAATTTACCTCTAGGAGGTCTTTTACAGTTTTTTTAGCCGTCGCCGACTTTTTGGGGGACTGCCTACGCCTACGTTGAACTACGGCCCTAGCGGCCGGGTTGACAGAGAGCTGGTGGCATGCGACCTCGGTGTCGAGTCCGGGCATCTCCGTGGCGCTCCAAGCGAAGAGATCGACATTCTCACGGAGGCAGGCCTCTAGTTGTTTCCTCGCGAGTTCGGGCAGCCCCGCCCCAATCCTCATGGTCTTCGTTATGTCTGCCCCGAGGGTTACGAGCTCGAAGTCCCCATCTGGAATGGGGCGCGTTGGGCGGGAAGGCTGCCCGTTGGTTTTGCCAGATTCGTCCTCGTGGTTAGGCTCTTCGGTGAAGCGGCAGTCAAGGTCCACATCGTCGACGTGATCTTTCGGTTTGACCTCCCGGGCGGGAGGCGGCTTGGTCGCTTTGGTCGGGGGGCCGATTATGCTGAGACCCTTCATCGCTGCGTCGAAGCATTGTCGGGCTGCTTTGATATCCCCGTTGAGGGTGACAACGACTCCAAGTCTGGTGTAGTATTTCATCTTTAAGTGGACGGTCGACGACACTACGGTGAGTTCGGCCATCGTCGTTCTGTCCAGGATGCAGTTATATAGAGATGGGCACTCAACGACCAGAAAACGGATGTTGATTTCTCTGGTCATTTCCTTCTCCCCGAAGGTGACCTTGAGCTCGACATACCCCCATAGTCTTGTCGTTGTCCCACTGAAGCCTTGGAGATCAGATCCTAGATAGGGGGACAGGTTGGATTCGTCGAGTTGAAGCGTCGCGAAGAGGTGGGTGTACATGATGTCCACCGAGCTTCCTCCATCGACCAGGATGCTCCTAGTGTCGAAGTTCTCCACCTGCGCCCATATCAGTAGGGGGATGTTAGAGTTGTGTGCCCCTCTGGGGAGTTCCTCGAGGTAGAAGGTGATCAAGTTGGACCGACCTCGAAATTTGTCGAGTGTGCTCATCTTGCCGGAGCTATTGCTGATAAGCTCGTCGAACTTCCGTTTAACTGACCCCATCGATAGCTTGCTCGGAGTCCCTCCGGATATAACCATTGCCCTCGGAAAATACTCCCACCGGCTGGTGGGGCGCACAGGCTCCTCGGGTAGATCAAGTTCGGCGGGAAGGCTGAACTCCCTGAGGGCGAACCAGTCCTCAGGTTGGATAACACTGAGGGCAACCTGTAGGCCGGACTCGTTGTCCGGAGGAGGGAGGTCCTCGACTCTCTTAGCCTCGGGAGCCTCATGCCGCGGGGGCTCTCCTCCTCGGGTGTATCTTTTGAGATGCCCGTCCCTGATCAGAATCTCGATTGCGTCCTTTAGGTGGATACAATCCTCTGTTACATGACCGTGGCTTCGGTGGAAGCGACAGTATTTCGACTTGTCCATGTTGGCTTTGGTGGGTGTCAGTTTTGGGAAACGGACACCTCCCTGGACAAACTCCGTTTTGGTGCACTCGGCCAGTATGCGCTCGCGGGAAGCGATCAATGCGGTGTATTCTGTGAACCGACTAGCTGGGCCATGTTGTTCGCGGGGCTCTCGGGGATGGTCATCTCGTCGTCGGTCTCCCCTGTGCCGGTGGATTGAGGCTCCTTCGTCTCAGGACCCGTGGGGGGTGTCTCTGTCCCTGGTGTCACGGACGGAGTTAGCAGCTTGTGTTTCTTTGAACCGGATATAATGGCGAGCCCGGTCGAGGAAATCTTGGAGGGAGTCTGGTCAATAGATGGCCACTGCCTCATAGAATTTGGAGTCCCGACGCAGACCTTGCTCCATTAGGTAACGCTTCATCTTGTCTAAAGTCGTTACCTGCACCGCTTCCCTTGTGAACCTCTCGATGTAGTTCTTGAGGGGCTCGTCGGAGGCCTGGATGATCGCGTCCAACGCGACTTCTGTCTTCGGGTGGCACCTGGACGCCGTGAAGTGTCGTGAAAAGAGGTCCTTTAGGACCCTCCACGACGTTACAGACTCCGACTCCAAGCTCTTGTACCATGTCATAGCCTTTCTGCAGGGTCGTCGGGAAGAGCCTGCACTTGATGGCTCCCCGGACATTGCGGTAGTTGAGCATAGCCTCAATATTTTCCAGGTGATCTTCCGGGTCCGAGGTGTCGTCGTACGTCGAGAGCACCAATGGCTTTTCCATCCCGTGGGGGATGGGAGCTGCCATGATCTCTCGAGACAAGAAGGTCCTATAGTCGTCTTCGTCGCTGAGAATCGGGGACGAACGAGGTGAAGGCCCGTGTCGAGGAGGGGGTTGATTTCGTACCCTCGGTTGCCTGACCGGGGGTTCCGCCCCCGTTGTCCTTGGCTCTTGGGCTCGCTTCTTTTCCTGGTCGGCGACCTTGCCCGCTTCTTGGAGACAACGGGTTGGGACCTCTCTAACTGTGGTCGGCGACTTCGTGGGCGAGGTGATGGACTCCTCGAGTTCCCGTACTACTCTTCCCACGGAGGGGAGCGGGACGGGGCCTCGTGTTCGAGCGCGCCGATGCGCTGATTTTGTTGGAACAATATCTGATTTGTCTGGTTGATGGCCGCGAAGAGGGCGACCATCGTCGGGTCCGCGCCAGCCAGAGTGGGGATAGGCTGGAACACTACCGGGCTTCTTGCCCGAGGAACTTCGTGGTGCGGTGTGCCTTCGGGGGAAGGGGAGGTAGTCTGACCGTCCCTGACGTCGGTCTCACGGAGTTGAGATGTCCCTATGTGACCGTTGTCGTTGGCAGCGGGGACGATTGAGGAGTTGTGAACAGCGTCATCATGGTGTGGGCTAGTCATGATTCTGAAGTGTTGAGAAGTGAAACTTTGGTTCTCTGCTCGGAGGAACGTGTAAGTTTATATTTCCACAGATGACGCCACTGATCTGACCTGATCAGAAGGGAATCGCTGGACAGCCACACATCTTTGATATGCTGCCTGTTCACCGGTGGTAAGAAGGAGGAGAAGGTGTACCTGCAAGGCGCTCTGATGTCAAAATAAGAGAGGACCAGAGTAAAGCAAATACAGAGAGAAAGTGTACAGAATTGAATTGAATACCTAACCCTCTTGTGGAAGAGGGTATTTATAGAGAGACCCCAGCGCAGGGCCAACGGTCAGTTGAGTTGGGCTGGATGGCCAGGCCCAACCCAAGTGACTGCTAGGGCTTACGTGGCGTAGTGAAGACCAGGACGTGGTCTTCATCCTAGGTCAACTACCCCGTGATCTCCAGAAGGTGGGCTGACCTGCTCTTTCGAAGGTGGACAATTGTCTGATGACGTGTCCTCGCAGAGGGAAACACGTGGAGAACGTGTGAGGCATACGTCTTTCTGCCCAACGGGGAAAACGTTCTTCCCGGTAGGACAATGTCTGGTCGACGGGGGCCTTGTGCTCGACACATATGAGGAAAGCTCCTTTGGGCCTTTCCCCAAGTATAGGTGGGTTGGGCCTTCCCGATCAGGCTGGGGGCCAGGCCAAAACATATATATATATATATATATATATATATATATATATATATATATATATATATATATATATATATATATATAGTTGAATACATGTCTATCCTGTTTTTACATTTGTTATTTTATTTATTTAATTAATATAATATGTGATTTTTATTATTAATTATAATTAATTAATTAATTAATTAATTAATTATAACATGTGACTAGTTTTGTCATCATTTATTTTTTACTGTATTAATTTTATTTAACTAACTAATGATAATGTGTTACTATGAATACATGTCTCATCTATTTTATATTTATTATTTAATTTAATTAATTAAATATAATATGTAATTTTTATTATTAATTTTTAATGACTATTTTAATTATTATTTATTTATTATTAATTTTATTTATCTACTATTATTATTATATGTGAATATTTGGCAGAAATTTTTGATGGGAATAGTTATAAAATTATAATTTAATATACCATAAAATGATTTCTACATTCAGAATTTGTTGTTTAATTTATCTTTATTCAATATAATTTGTATAAAATAAATTCATCCATTTTTCTCATCTCAAAATCAACCAAGTGTTTAATCTCTTTAGTAGTCTCTATACACATTCATGTCAATAAACTTTTACATCAATTATATTACAAAAAAACTTAACTTTTGAGTTTATATAGCTATGAAAAAGACAGGCGGTGTTAAATCCCGTTAACGTGCGCCTAATAGAATAAAGGTTTTAGAGAAACCGAGAGAAAGAAAAAAACCATAAAACTCGAGTCGCAATGATATGAACGATTCCGAACAAATGGATCGAGAAGATAACGGAACCACGAGCAGGGAAGAGCAAGAAGAAGCATTAGTCGCTTTAATCGAACACCGAACTAACGAAGTTGCCAATCTCCAAAAGCGTGTCTCCTATTACAAAACTCAGGTCATTTTCTTCATTCCCAAACTCAAACCCTTCAATTTCAAATAATACTAATTTATAATTTTTAATTCTCAATATTCATTTGCATTGAGTTTATAATTAATTATGGAATATAAATATAAGTTTGTGAAATTCATATATGCAGCTTGATGAAGCGGAAAAGAAGTTGAAGGATTCAGAAACCAAATTGGCTCGATTACGAGGTCAAACTAATTCAGTTAAATCTGCAACTAGAAATGTAACTAACTTAGATAATGACGATGGAGTTGTTGCTGTGAAGAAAGAGCCTAGATCGAATAGTCCTGTTGATAGGAATGAACGTTCTTATAAAAGTAATAATAACAGTCAATCTAAAACCGAACTTGTTATTCCTACCGTTACTCCGAAGATTTCGCGGTCTTCGAAAGGTTCCGGTTCTGAATCTACTCCACCACAGGTTCATACTCCTGTTACTGGAGGAAAATCTGATAAGTCTCGTAAGGAGCAGCAGAGTGTTGAAGTCAAGGAAAAAGGAACAAAAAGGAAACTTGGTAAGATATTCGGGAAGTGATTAGCCTTTGATTTTTATTGTTTTCTATTATGGAGTGAGAAGTTTTAGTGTATGTTAGTATTAGGGTTTGATTGTTTCTTTGTTTTTTATTTATTTATCTCTATATTAGGTTATGTTTGGATTATTTAATCGAGGGCTTCTCGATTAAAATAACTTCATAGTTTTGCCTTGTAAAAAGATTTTTATAAGGTTTGAAGCACTTACATTGGCGCAAACATCGGATAGGGCACTAACATATATATCCATCGGTAATGATTGTAAAGAGTAAAAGTGATTAAATGTAATTCAATGTGTTAATGTTGTATCAGTGTCCGACACCCGATACTTGTTGGTTACTCGACACGCTTTTAATATTAAGTGTCAATGCTACATATCCTTTAAGCGTCACTAATTTACAGAAAAGGTTATCGAAACCTGGCTCTTCGTATGTTTAGTTGGTATGTTGACCGTATCTATGGTTTATTTGCTTCTGAGGATTCTGAGTCTGAGTCTGATATTTGCTTATTGTGGAGGTTTTCGTCTAAAGGTCGCTTTTGGTTGTAATTGAGCTTCATAAGATTTTTGTTTGCTTTTACTCAGATGTGAAAGAACATAAGGAATTGATTCCTTTAATACGTAAGAGTGTTTCTCTGAAATTAATACACTGTGAAACAAGCAACCATATCTCAAGTAAGCACAAGAGGAAATTGCGGAGTATTGCTTTGTGTCCTGTGAATGATCAACTTTTTGCGACCAGGTACCGGGGTGTTTTTGTTTCTAAAAAACTTTCCTTTCTGTGATTTGTTAGAATTTTACTCTATAATAATGATTTAATGATTATAAGTTAGACCCATCCCTTTTAAAATTCTCTTTTACCTGTCTCTTTTCATCTCCCAGCTTTTGTCTAAAGAAGGTATGGGTCAAATGTTATCAACCGAGAACAATTGAAGTTCAAATGCAATTTGCAATACGATGGATCAATAACTAGGCTTATAATTTAAGTTCTAATATTTAAGTTCTCACTTTTCGGTCATTAAGCTTTTATTTTAACAAGATAGAACATTCACATGATTGCCACAGCAAGGCTCGGTGTCTTAATAATAACATCTCTCTTGAATATAATTATTTCTGCTTCTTTTAGTATTTCTGCTTCTTTTATCAGTAAGCATTTTCTAAAACTATATTTGCGTGAACTGAGTGATATAAGAAAGTACATGACAAGTTCACTCTGTGAATATGCTTTTCTATCAAGATTAATACAAAAGTATTAATTCTTGTATAAAGGTTTGTTTATTTTATAAAAGCTGGCTCGTATCTTCTTATGACATGACCTTTAGTGGTTTGAGAGATAACTCTTGTCATTTTTTTTTCGCTATTTTGTAATATATTTTTCTGATAATGCAAGATGCTATAATTTTATAGTCTGATTATTGCAACTTCTTGGGAATTTTGCAGTGCCTTGGATGGAATGGTCAACTTCTGGCAAGTACAAGCTAGAGGGTATGCCCTAATTTACCTTTCTGGTGACACTTCGGAGAGCTTTTATTCTTATTTTTGGTGACAATGTTGGTATAAATAGACATGCCAGATATAAAATTGGGAAAAGGGGAGTCTTTGCTTATCAGGTTTTTGCGCAAGCATAATCTGTCGACTCTATGGTCTCTCCTGCTTCTGCTGACAGTCTATTGTCTATTATTAAGAGTAGTTTAGTGGCAGTTGTTATAAGTAGTTATGCCTTACTAATTATGTCTGTTATGTTTAGAATAAATAGGGGAAGATAGGGGAGAGTTTACTATTGTGGAATTTGAGAGGAAAGAGTCCATTTTGGCATTCGGAGGTGCAGACCCTCCAAAGTTCTGCAATATTAACCTGTAATTCAAAGAGATTTTCCCTATTGTCTATCATATATCATTTGGTTTCTATCACTTTGATAGTTCTTTCCTCTATCACTGATGGTTTTGTCCTTGGTATACATGATGTTTAGGAGTTTAAAGCATTATAGGTGAACTTAAAAATATTATAATGTTGACTCACCCATATAATCTAATTCATAATTTCTTTCTTGCAGATCAGGAGCCTCTTTACTTAACTCTTCTGATTGTGCATCCCAAAAACAGAGGAGATGGCCAGAAGATATAGCTTGGCACCCTGAAGGAAACAGGCTCTTTTCAGTATATACTGCTGACAGTGGAGACTCACAAGTATCAGTTACAAATCTGAATAGAGTACAAGGGGTATGGCTTTTAACACAACTTTGGATTTGGGTTTCTTGTATTGGTCACTGCTATTGATAAATGCAAAATTTATTTGTAATTTACAGGAACGACGTGTGAACTTCTTAGAGGACAAGCCCCATTTGAAGGGAATTATCAATGGCATTGTTTTTATGCCCTGGGAAGATACATGTTTTGTAACTGGTGGAAGTGACCATGCTGTTGTACTATGGCGTGAGCAGGATGATGAGGACAAATGGAAACCAAGGCCATTGCACAGGAACCTTCATTCTTCTGCTGTCATGGGTGTTGCTGGTTTGCAGCAGAAGCAGATTGTGTTATCCGCAGGTGCAGACAAGAGAATAATTGGGTTTGATGTCGGTGTAGGAAGAGCTGATTTCACTCATCAGATTGATAGTAAATGCATGAGCGTCGTTCCCAATCCATGTGACTTCAACTTGTTTATGGTTCAAACAGGGTAAGTTGCCCGTTTGTTAAGCTTTCCGCCATTAGGTTTTTACAAGCTTTGCCATAGAATGCAGAAATGTAAACATGCTTTAAATTTGAAGTTTTTATCTGTCATGTTTTTCTTTTATAAGGGAAATAGAGTGTGTTAACTTAAAAATAGCCAAATGATCCAGAACTTTGAATCCACGATAAATTTCTTGCATTATTACTGTGTTTGTTGAAGTGCAAAAGAATTATTATCATTGCTCAAGTTACCTGTGAACTTTGGGAAAACTGAAACAAAAAGGATTTTGGTTTGGTTACTTCATTTTTAAATTCCCATACTACTTGATGTAGTGCACAACCACCATTTTATAATCTCATGTCTGTCTTTTAATTGGAAAAAATGGAATCTCTGAAGGGTATAGAAATATTGTTATGCATGCAACACCATTATGGCAAAGAAAGTTATTGCAGTCTGCTGTGCTTATCCTTTTCCATACATGAAATGTGCTTGAAATAGTGGATGTAGTTTTCTGTGGTATGCCGGCAACATTTGGGCCTTTCTTCTGCTTTGTAAACACTGGATAAAACAAATAATAAGATGATTGGCCTATAATTCAGTAGTTGCATGACAAATCCAACCCCTTCAATATAAGGAAGAGAGTCTATTCAACCGTAGTGATTTTAAGCTGAAAACTCCCTTTTGTTATTCATATTCTTGGCTGGTTGAAATGATAGTTTAAAGTCAAAAGCTACTTTTCAAATAATATTGGTTGATATCTTCTAATCTGTATTGAATTGAGGACATAGGGCCTTTAAGAAAGGAACATAATCATGTCAAGAGGTATATCAACATACAAATACCATGTTGATCCTGTTTCTACTTGACACCAAGATTTTTCTTCTATTGCCATTCTTTAGTATCATTTAGCTTGCTGAAAATTTATAGTATATTAACTATTTTTTTTATCAGGACTCACGAGAAGCAGCTTCGACTATTTGATATTAGATTGAGGCGGACAGAACTTCATGCTTTTGGGTGGAAGCAAGAAAGCAGTGAATCCCAATCAGCTCTGATAAATCAGGCCTGGTCTCCTGATGGTTTTTATATAACATCTGGATCAGCAGATCCTGTAATTCATATATTTGATATAAGATATCATCTTAACAGGCCTTCCCAATCTATAAGAGCTCACCAGAAACGAGTCTTCGGAGCCATGTGGCTTCAGTCTATTCCTCTTCTCATATCCATATCATCTGATCTCAACATTGGGTTGCACAAGATTTACTAGAGACAACCTATACTGAAGTTAAGTGTTCTGTTTCCATCTTTTTGTTGGTGCTGATTATTGAATTCTTATTTTTCTTGAAATTATTTTAGGAAGGAATTTTGGTTTTATAGACCCTTAAAATTTTGTGGGTTGTAAGTCGCCATCAAGTAAAGGGAAGAATTTAGTAGGAACGAAAAATTAGGAAAATTTTGGTTGTAGAAAGCCTTCTCATATGTTGGCAGTGTATTTTACTACTATTATCTCCATTTCATGTGTTGTTTTAGGTGATACATTACGTCTCTAGAAAACATTAATAACAACATTTTAAGGTAAAATAAACTTTGTTGCTGCTAATTGGATTTTGAAAATCTGGATGGTTTGTTTGTACTTGCAATTCATCCCTCTCTGCAGTAAATGACTCGTTTTACATCTGAAATTTTTCCTTTTTTTTTTCTGCTCACGAATTTCTGCAGGCATTGGTTTACAAATTTCAACATTTTCTACTATTCTAGTCGAGTGTTACTTTATCCTATGAATTTCACCTCTATCAAAAACTTTGTGACACTAGATACAAACAATCAGCATCAGGACTTTTAGTACAATGTGTCTAAGTTATATCAGTCTTTGAACTAAATTATACTATTTCAATGCACAATGTTTTATTAAGACAATTAATGAACGGTTCGCATGCACACGGTTTGGTTTCGAACTTTCAATAGCGGTTCCTTTGCATTTGTGTGCTACAGTCACACATTTTTGTCCAATTCCTTACTATCTGCATGCCACTTATTCAATAACATTTCATCAATTAAATTTCAAAATATTTGCTAAAATATTTTACCTCTGCCGCCAATTTTTTGAGCACTTTTTTTTATATTTAATATAAAAGCTCAAGTAACAACAAGATTCACCATTTTATTCAAACACATTTTTAACTAATATTGATATTTGGTGTAATTATTTAAAATGGTTTTGAATATTGATTTAAATGAACCTTTCAATGATTATGCTGGCTGATGGTATGTCATCACTAAATGAAAATGGTGTGTCAAAAGAAAACAAAAACAGAGCATCAATTCCCATCAACTTAAATGTGTCCTTCCTTCGAAGAGTTGTTCGACTTGAATACTTGTCATCCATACGAACAAGTGTTTCAAAATGAGATTGATGATGTCTTTGCTTTTAATAATACTGATAACAATGTTGATGATCTCTTTAAAGATAACACAATTGATTAAAACTTTTGGTTCTTCAATATATTTTCTTATTACTGTAACTCATATGTATGTGTTGTTGAAGAAAAACTTTTTTAGCTCTGTTTTAAGAGGATGATTTTCTTTCTAGTTTTAGATAAATTAAAGTATTGTAGTTCGGTAATATGTCTTCTTATTGTTGTAACTCATGTATGTATGTGTTGTTGAAGCAATGGATTGGTGATGAGATACAACCAACTAAAAAAATGCATTTTTTTGGACAACATTCAACGACAACTTATTTTAGATTTTTTTTTTGAAATCAAGCAATTTTGGAACACTTAATAACATATTTATCAAAAGGGTGACATCATCCTATTCGGTTTCTATAGATATCTTTTATCGAATTTGGAAACTAACAAAACAAAACAGGTGATGCATGTCATAAGAAAACAAAAAATTGTCGAAAAAAATTCAAGATTTTAAAAAAGTGTGTGATGTTCCTTTAAATAAACGTGGCACTCTTTGATCTTTACCGTGTCTAAAATTAAAACCAATACAACATTGGTGAAATATGTAAAGAAATGGGTTTTACGTCAAAATTCGAATATCCTAAAGCTACATATGACAATTGGTAATATGAAATGCTTGATGAGGGTAGCATTTCTCATGATCCAAGATTTAAGTCTATGTATAACATTGTTCACATAGAAAAATAGTTTTTTCTATCTAAAAAATCATCAAACTATTATCTTCTCGCAAATGAGGATGATTTGTGTCGTACATGTAAGAAAAATAACTACATTGGTAAGGTTATGTTCTTAGTTGTCGTGGCTAGGCCAATATTTGATGATGAAGGTAAAGAGACATTTTCAGGAAAGATCGGCGTGTTTCCTCTAGTCACCAAAGTACTAGCAAAAATGACAAGTGTTAATAGAGCTTCTGGGACACTTAAAAAACATGGATTTCTTCTATCACCAAAGAAGTTAGTCAAATGTTCTTAATAAACAAGATTTTGTCGACCATTAAAGAAAAATGGCCACGAGAGCACGCACACAAAACAATTTACAAACAACAAGATAATGCACCATGTCATGTTTCAGTAGACGATGAAAATTTTTATAAAGCAACTTCTGATGGGGGATTTGACATTCGTTTAACTTGTCAACCGCCCAATTTTCCTGATTTGAATGTATTGTATTTGAGATTTTTTGCAGTCATACAATCATTGCAACAACAAGAAGTAACTAAGTCAGTTGATGAGCTTATTCACGCGGTGGAAAATCTTATGACAGTTTTTGCGTCAAAAATTTAAACAAAGTATTTCTCACATTTCAGTCGTGTATGATTGAGATCATGAAGGGCAAGGATCAAATGACTATTAAACTCCTCATATAAAAAAGATAAGTTGTTTAATGGAGACATGTTGACGACTCAACTAAAGTGTGATCGAGAATTATTTTATGAAACTTTAGATTACCTACATAATATTGAGTAATGTAAGAAATTTATTTGTTTTGAGCATGTTTATGTCACTTCTATTATTAATAAATTTCAATACCATTTCATATATTTTTTTGAATATATCTATACCATTTCATATTTTTTTGGAATATATCTATACCATTTCAATAGACGATGAAGAATTTTGTAAAGTAGCTTCTGATGGGGAATTTGACATTCGTTTAACTTGTCAACTACTAAATTCTTCTGATTTGAAAGTATTGTATTTAGGTTTTTTTGCAACCATACAATCATTGCAACAACAAAAAGTAACTAAGTCAGCTGATGAACTTATTCACGCGGTGAAAAATCTTATGACAATTTTTGCGTCAAAAATTTAAATAAAATATTTCTCACATTTCAGTCGTGTATGATTGAGACCATGAAGGCCAAAAACTATTAAACTCCTATATAAAAAAAGATAAGTTGCTTAATGGAGGCATGTTGACGACTTAACTAAAGTATGACCGAGAATTATTTCATGAAACTTTAGATTACTTACATAATGTTGAGTAATGTAAGAAATTTATTTGCTTTGAGCATGTTTATGTTACTTCTATTATTAACAAATTTCAATACCATTTCATATTTTTTTTTGAATATATCTATACCATTTCAATACCACATCAACCATTGACATTTAATATTATTAAGATGGTTTTGAATATAACTATAAATATTAAATTATTAGTGATAAGAATAATATAAACCGTATTTGATGAGAACCATGTGAAAAATCTAAGTCTTTTAATTGATCTAAAATATAAGTAAACCATCTTTTTAAAACAAAGTTACAGTATCCTAAATTTTTCTTCAACAAGACATGCATACATGAGTGCTTACGTGAGGGTAAGAGAACTTAAAAAAACATATGCATACATACATGCTTACAAGTTCCATTTTCTAACAAATTACTCTAAATATTTCATTAAATAGAGACAAACAATTGTTCTCAATATATTTCAAATAAAAAAATTCAAATTCAAAGAACCTATAATTTCTTGCCTAGTACAAAGACCTAAGTAATTTTTCACCAGATTTGGAATGTCTTTCTTAATCTCTTTTGCTATGGCTGACAATCAATCGAACCAACTCAAAAATAATTTAAAATTCGGTTCGAAAATTAAATCGTTGAACTAAGTTCATGAACCAAATGAGCTGAATATGAGCAAAAAATTAAGTTTATTAACTAAATGAGTTGAACTTGAACTATACATAGTTTGACTCGTTAGGTTCGTAAGTCAACTCGATTATATATAAAAAGACTATGTTGTCTTTAAGAGCAGGTTTAAAGATTTACTCTAAATTTTAATCCTATATTGCCCCTTTCCTAATAGTTATGGAAGTAAAACTGACAATTAGAGTCATCCTTGTTAGAAGAATTATGACATTTGCCAAAATAACATATGTAATGAAGGTTGCAAGTGGTGTAATCATGTAGTGATGAAAATGTATCAATTTTTAGTAAATTTTGGTGTACCGTTTTATTAAATTGGTAAGGTTCCTAGATATTTAGATGAAGTTGTGAATTTTTGAGACAAATATAAACTTCCATTGATTAGTTTTTGAATTAGACATTCAAATGTATCTCTTCAAAATTGTGTAGTTTTTGAATTAATAGATTTTTGAGACAAAGTTAAATTTCAAACTGATAACTTTTATTTTAATTTGATATTTTCTTTTTTAAAAAAATGTTAATTTAAAATGTCAAATATATTAAAAAATATAGACTTAAAAATGACTTTTAAGACCGTGAAGCAAGTGAGTTGAAACTAACTAATTGAACCGAATTGTTCGTGAACTATTAACGAGTTGAGTTTGAATTTAAAAAAGTTTGTGTCAAAAATCAAAATTTGAGCTGAATCAATTCTTAACAAGTCGAGCTAAGCTGATGAAAAGTTCAACTCGACTCGACTCGACTCATTTTCAGCTCTATCTTCAGCATCGTATTCAAAAACACCCATATTATAATGGACAATTCTTTGGCGCAAATTATTAACTGTTTCAGAGTCCAAGAATTTTTCATCATTGTCCATAACTTCTTCAAATTTGTCCTTATCTTCTTCAACCTCATCAAATAAATTAATTGAAGACTCGTTTTCAAACACTTGAGCATTATTGTGTGATGTCACTTCATCTTCAAATGGTAAATTTGATATTTGTCCTCCTCCCCATCTTTTTCTAGTGAACCTTCAACAATGAGAAGTGAAAGATCTTTTATATCATCATCATATCAATGCCTAAGTCGAAGGAAGGTGCATCAAAACAATTTGGTGGTGCTGCCATTTAAAAAAAAAGAAAGAAACAATTTGTTTTCTTCAAAAA